TTTTGAATTACACATGTGATTCGCATTATATTTCTACTGAACAGAACTGTTTAAAAATATGTGTTTCTGAGTTCCCATTTCTTTTGTGTGCACATCAAATTCTAGAAAACTCAGAGCAGTCTTACTTGGGGGGAAATGTTACATCATTCTCCATTGAAAGATCTTTAAAAACAAAACAGTAAAGATTTCAAGTCATATTGGTTAGGTGTTTAAGAGTGTGTGAGGGGAAGGAACACCAATGTTTCTTAAACTGAAATTTCGTTTCCTTTTCTTTTGAATGAAGTTGTAGTAGCAGTCTTTTGGCACTTTCAGTATTCAGAACAGTGGAACATTTTCAGAATTCAGACACATGAAAAGGGATAGGTCCAAAAATGAAAATCAGCTTCCCCGCCCCCATTCACACACATGCAACATCTCTTTTCCATGTGAGTGCCAAATATTTAGAAAGCACCTAAATGCTCAGCCTATTAAATCCAATGTTCAATGACCACTTTCTGCTGTGCTTTAACTGTTGAGCCAAGTGAAGAACAGTGGGCAGAGACAAGGCATTGAATATGCTTTAGGACTGCCAATCCAGGCAGAAAGTGCAGCAGAGGGAAGATCAGAGGCACACATGAGCAGAGAGGAGGGAGGGCAGGTTGGCTGCAGACATTGAGGATTCACATGTCTGCACCGATCAGGTACAGCTTTGAATGTCAGGAAGGATATCTAGGATCTGATGTGAAAGGCAATGGTCAAAATGACTGCTGGAAGCCATGTTTTAGGAAAACCATCTCTCTCCTCTCTGCCATTGTATAGTATGTGTATGTCCCCCCAACTGGAGGACCTGATTAGAGATAATGCCACCTCTTTCATCCCCTTACTCTCTCATGTGTGCATATTTTTACTTCTCCAAGAGACAATAATACATTCTTTAAGGACAAAAACCAAGGTTGATGTTTCTTTTGAATACCCTATGACTTCCAGGACAGTACTAGGCACAGAGTAGGTGCTCAATGCTTTAAATACATTGTGCTGAATCTTTTTCCTCTTCTTTCACATACTTCAAGAAGGAAAATGAAGAGAGAATCTTAATTCCTAACGAGGGTCCCCCAGAGACAAAAGTGTAAATCAGTTTGCCTTCTGTCACTTTCTCCTCCCTTTTCTGTGCTTTTCTCCTTTCTTCCTGGGTTCTTACTACCAACACTTTGTTCCTGAAATTCTTAGACTTTGACTTTGAATGTCTGGAACCGAAATTTCCCTCTTCCTCCTTTCGCCATCCATCTTCCTTAGGGCCTTGGGGAGAGTACGAGGTCCCTTTATTTCACACAGGCAGTCTCTGGGCTGCACTATTAACTGGTAATCTGCTTTAACCACTTGGCCCTCCCTGACAGAGCTCCACAACTTACCTGAAAACAGTTCTGCTGAGTTCAAATGGTCGGATAAATAAGACACCTGTTAAAGAAGTTTAGAGGATGTCCGGTTAGATCAGTGCTTAGAGTGTGGTTTTATAATACCAATGTCAAGGGTTCGGATCTCTGTACTGGCCAGTGCCCTACCCCCACCAAAAAAAAAGTTTAGAAGGAGCTGGGAGTTGCTATATGAGTGACAGGAGAGCTTTTGGCTATTCTGTGAATAAGAAATAACATACCCAACTGTGACTTGGGGTAGGGCAGAGTGAATTTGGTTAGGGCTGTAGCCTTTCCTTGACCAGAATAAAAGACAACTCTTTAGATCCTAGGAAATTTACAAAGCTTGAATCCTCCCTCTTCTCTCTCTCTCTCTCTCTCTCTCTCTCCATTTTCGTTGTCCTGACTCTAAACTGATAACTACAAAGTTACCTCAAGGAATAGAGAGTAACATTCTTTCCCCTGGATTACTCTTTAGTCATTTTTTTTTTTTTTTTTTTTGTCTTTTTTTTGAGACCGGCCACACTGCACTCAGCCAGTGAGCACACCAGCAGCCATCCCTATATAGGATCCAAACCCGCGGCGGGAGCGCTGCTGCGCTCCCAGTGCTGCACTCTCCTGAGTGCGCCACGGGCTCGGCCCTTTAGTCAATTTTTTAAAGTTTCTAAACATCTGAGAAAGACAGTCCAATACTGTGAAATATAGTAGAAAACCCTTCAAAAATATCATGTACAAATACTTCAAGGATACTGGGTCCCTGAACAAGGCTCTTTGTAAAGTAAGGGTTAAAATTACAGGCAGATAAACTGCAACAGATAAGAGTGAAATTTGGTTTGTAAAGGGTATTAACTCTGAGTAAACATTACATTTTTTGTTTGTTTTCTTTATATTACCTTAATGTAGAATTGGAGCTTGGCTGCTATTTCTGCTGTTGTTTTTTGTTTATTAGAGAAAAGCTCATGTGATGGGTTCTGAGGGAAGTCCCTGCTTTTTTTCCAGTGACTCGTCTGTACTAACACTAACCATTCACCTGGTGCAACTTAAATTGCAGTCACATTGTGTTAAAGGAATGACCTGCCTCCGTAGGCTTGCTCTCACCAACCCACACCACACAGCAGCCATGCGCTACACTTTTCCCTCCTTTGTAGGAATGCTGGAGGTGGTCCCACTTCCCAGTCCCAGCACTAACTCCACTCCATTCACTCCTCTCAAGTAAGCTTATCTGGTGTTTTTAAAATTACACAACCCCCAGCAATTCTGCTCTTCCTCTATAGGGAGTAAATGCCACCTCCAATATCTCCTGGCCCCCAAGAAACACAGCTCTAAACTAATGAGCAATCTCATCCTTAAAGATTCTTGCAGGTTAAAAAGGATGCTTGGAGAGGTAACCAGTAGGGTGAGGTTCCCGTGGCAGAGATTAGGTGAAACAAGGAAAACACCTCTTCATTCTTACCTTCTAAGACTGTTGGCTGTTTTAGTATCCAGTGAGCATTATTCTCTTATTTATAAGATGATGCCTATGTATTCTGGTAACGGGTTAGCTATCCTTTTAATGAATGATGTGTGTGAGTGTGTGTGTTGTATAACTGAACAACCATGCAAAAAGTGTATGTGTGTGTGTGTGTGTGCTTATCCAAGAGTGTTCAAAAAGGAGAGAGAAACGTGAACCTCTCCTCTTTCTTATTTTCCAGGCACATTGTGATTAAGGAAGAGAGTTTGGTTTTTAAAATAAGATTGATCTGCTTAAAGAAAAAAAAAATGTTTGTTAAATTTTGTGATAACTGTAGATCCAAATTGTAGGAAATAGTATAAAGAGATCTCCTATGGACGTTTCTCCCATTTTTCCCAATGGTAACATTTTGCATAACTGTAGTTACAATGTTACAACCAGGAAATTGATAATACAATCCATGGGCCTTATTCACATTTCACTGGTTTTATTTGATGCTCTCATTTGTGAGTGTGTATTTAGTTCTGTGCAGTGTTGCCATATATGTGATCTGCTTTTGAACGCCAGCTCTGCCAAGTGCTTGCTGTGTTATCCTGAGCGAGCTCTTTAACTTCTGGGAGACCCAGTTTCTTCATTTGCAAAATGGGTAAATGTCTGCCTCCTAAGGGTGGCGTGAGGATTAGGTAAGATTATTTTTGTCGAGTTTCCAGCACACTGGATTCTCAAGAAACACTACTTTCCTTCCTGTCTACTGCTTGTTCTCTCAGTAGCAAGGAAGCTTTCTCCAGTTTCTTGCTGAAATAGCCAGACCTGTGGTTGTAATAAATCAGGCGGATCCTTCTTCAAGGTCAACACATTTAACCCTGCAGCTCAAAGAGAACCATGGGTGTTGCCTCGGGGCCCACTGCCACCACCGACCCTAGGCCTGGACTTGGGATCCTGTTGGACTGCATTGAGATCAGAAGCGTAGGGAAGGGATGATGCCCATGTATTCTGGTAACGGGTTAGCTATCCTCTTAACGAACAGTGTGTGAGAAAGCGGAGACTTTCCGGGAGCGTGTGGAAGAGGGGTAAGCGGAGGCCATAAATATCCAGCAAACGTTGGCCCGAGAACCACCAACTCCACTGAGTTTCCTTCCTGTGTGGCTTGTGACCGAGGGTGGATGCACCCTCAGAAGGCTGCACACGGGGCGGGAGTCCACGGGGACTCAGTGGCAGATGCGGAAGCCAGCCTAGACCCGGTAGGAGAGTCACACTCGCTTCAGAGGGTTCAGAGTCAAGTCCAAAGCCCGTCCGCCCCCTGACACCCAATGCCGATGATGGCCAAGCAGCACCCGAGGGCTCGGAAATCCAGGGCCGACGGGGGGCAAAAGAAAAACCTGACTTTCCACCTTAGGGTCCCGCTGGCAGGAGGCGGGGCCTCTCCTCGGCGCAGAGCCCTTGGCGGCGGCGAGACCAGCGAGCGGGGTGCGCGCGGGGCGTCTGGAAGGAAAGGGAGGCGGACAGGCAGGGGGCCGAGGAGTGGGCGACCCAGCGCCAGCCCGGCGGCGACGTCGGCGCACGGGCCTCCTCCACCGTACCCCGAGCCCTGGCGTTTCCGAGTTCAAATCCCGGAGGCGGGAGCTCCGGGGAGAGAGCAGGGCACGCGATACAGGGAAGGCTCCCTGAGGAATGGATGCAGGAGTGAAGAGGAGAGGAAAGAGGTTTCCAGACCCAGAGAACAGCCTGTGCAAAGGCCCAGTGGTGGGAAGAAGTCTAATGAGGAGGAAATGGGGAGAAAAGGCTGGTGCAGCTGCTATCCCAGGTAAGGCTGGGGATAGGCTAGGAACAGATTGTGTGGGACCTTCAAGACTGGGTTAGGACATTTTGTCCATAAAATTTTGTCCCCTAGGATGGGGCAGAGGTGACATGATTGGAACTGCTGCTGTAATAATGCTATGTGGAAAACAGTTGCAGGAGGGGTCAGAATGGATATAA